TTGCCAATTCATGTACTGGAAGATCAATTGTCAGATTAATACTGTTTCTGGCAGAAATGTAAACTGTATAAACTGATGAACCTCAGCTAATCAGTATTACTTTGTAGATCACCATGCCTACCACATTTCAAACTCAAACTGCCTCTAGATGTCCAAATGCATTTTGTTTGAGTTTGTTTGCGTTTCCCTCAGCTTGCTGGTAATTGTGGTGTTTTTAAAATGCAGATGTGATGTAATATTCTTATTTTCTTTGGATCAAAGCTGGACTGAAAATTGTATTGTGTAATTATTTTTTGTTCTTAATGTTATTTGGTACTTAAGTTGTAAATAACGTCTACTGCTGTTTATTCCAGTTTCTACTACCTCAGGTGTCCTATAGAGTTTCTTCTACCAAAGTTCACTTTCACAATGAAATTATATTTGCTATGTGACTGATTCCTAAGACTTCCAGGGCTTAAGGGCTAACTTCTATTAGCACCTTACTGTGCAAGCAAATTTTACAGAAATCTCTGGGTTAAGAAATTTGGCTTCATTGTATCCTTTGTTATTTTAAATATATCAAGATATTTTAATTAAAAGTTTTTACCCCATTGAACCAATTTTATATAGTATAATTTGTACCTATTTTGGTGTTTTTTGTCTTTATAGTAAATAAAAGTTTTTGAACAAATTTTGTTTTTTGTTTGTAATGTAAATATTTTCAGTTTACCAATGTGAATAAAATATTTCTGGTACGCTTCATTGTTTTTAAACGCATCTCATGTGCAACACTTCATATAGTAAGATTTAGTTTCTGATATGAAACGACCCATATGAATATAGGCTGACGTATTTCTTTATTAGTATAGCTAAGATAGCTGAGATGAAGGGTTGCAACAAAGACTAAAAAAGACCTTTTTAAACTGATAATAAAGGTAGGAACTTCTTGTAGGATAATTCTCTGTGAACCTCATTTTGCTTGTGTCTTTAGATTAAACGTTAAATGACTAAGCTTTGCATTGCTACAGAAATTTAGTTATTCATTGCCAAGTCAGGTGAGTGGATTTGGTTTAGATGAGTTCTGGAGCTGTTAAGGTATGTCTTGGAGGCTAATCTGCTATTTTATGGTTTTCAGTGAAGTGATTCCGATTTAAATAGCAATCACAACAAAACTTTCTCATATTCAGGTAATCTGTAAACGTATAGCAAAAGTAGGGCTTCTTTTAGCTGTTTTGTTTTTCCTTATTTTTTTTTGACATTTTAAAGTTGAAAAATAAGCTTAAGCATTCTGTGGTCTGTTTTGTGACTACTGAATTCCACATTTTGAAGAACAGTCTCTTTATATGCTCCATTACTCATGTGATTTTCTGTTAATACAGATTCCTGTGTCAGTTCGGCAGTAAAACTTGGCAGCAGCAATCTTCAATTAAGCTCTAATATCCAATTTTTAAAAGCTGAAAAATATTTTAGCAGGAATTTAGGAAAAATACATGACAAGGGTTAAATAAAAGATGATTCAAATAAGATATTTACCTTCATTTAATTTACTGTAGAATACCTGAATTGTATTATACTGTGGTAGTTAGAATGTTGCTTGTTGGCTGTTACAGTATCTCCTTTTTGGGAGCAGGGAAAGACAGAGATTGCCTGTTCCCTGCAGTTGGCAGTAAATATCAGACTCGCACTTGGGGAACTAAATGCCTTAATTTGCAGAGGGAATGCTCTGTTCTACAGGCAGATAGTTCAAGTTGTGCTCTTTTGGAGATCAGTGGTGAGAATAACTTCACATTCCATGTTCTATCTGGCGGTTGTAGTTTGACAGTGCTTTCAGAGACAGAGCTTTTCAGAGCTTTCACTTCTGCTTTCAGAGCTCATTGGAATGTCGTGAGGATCGTGTATTTCCTTTTTATATCTTCTGAGAGGTTAACTCGTGTCCGTGGTTATTCTGCCCTGACTGTTTTTCCTTCTAAGAGACGACTGTCTGTCTTTCTAAGAGACTGTATTTCCCTAATTAAATTTTCTCTAACTGTTAGTGTTCCTTCCTGAGCTGAATCACGAATGTGACAGTCTCTCTTTTAAGAGCCACAATACACTGTTCTCTTGCATATCCTGTGCATAAGGGCATGTTGTTTTCTCATTAAAACTTTAGTACATAGCTGCAACATTTTAGAATTTCGGTTGTAAATTGAGACCTTTTTTCCATGCCATTACCAAGAAAGTCCAGAAGATGGCGGAAAAGCACTGTCACCCAGCCTAGGACTGTTTCCTTTTATTTTTCCCTGAATCAGTTCAGTTTGTACATCGTTGTTCAGCTCCCCTTCTTGGAAAAGATGTGCAAGACCAAGGATAGAATTAAAATGACTATGAAGTTAATCAAGAAGGAATTTATAAATGCTTCTGAGGTTCAGACTAGAAGTGAATCTTCCTGCTTGCCTTACTGCTTTGGTGGGACTGCCTCTCAAAATCTTGAACCCTTGGCAAAAGTTCAGATCCAGATATGGGAGAATAAACCTCAACAGTGATTTAAGGTTTACTTTCTCTATTCACCTCCAAACCATTTCTCAAACACCAGCTCCTCATTATTAATTTTTAAACTGGTTTCCTAAGAAAGATAGATGTATGCTGTCATGTCTTGTTTTTCCAGTAACTTTTGACTTCATTTTGATGTTCAAATATACAAGTTTTATGAAAGTAGATACCTTAGTAAAGAAGGGAAACCGAATCAGTTTGCCCCCTACACCTCCCCCAAAAGAAATTCCTGTTGTTGCAATGTGAGTTCAAATCCTTAAGTGTAAGGGAAAGAAAAGAAGAAAATTACTAGGAGCACCTCAATTATAGAAAAAGCATGTAATCTGTCTGGGATTTTGGGGGGGGGGGGAAATGGAGGAAAAAGGCTTTCATATTTTACTGAACTCAGACATTAAGAAGCTCACACATCTGCAGAATGCAAGACTTCATTGACTGTGCAACTTGTACTGGACTTGGTTTTCCCTTAATTTGTTTCTCTACCCTCTCATTCTGTAAGGATGTCATCCTACTTATTTTATCCATAATTCAAGCAATGCATTTTTATCTGTCACTCTAGGAAAAATATCTTGTGCATTTACACCTTTTCCGAGGAACTGAAGATGGACCTTGTGCCTTTAAAATGATGCACAGTGGAAGTACAGCTGTGTGTTTACTCTGTGTGGCTACATGGAAGTATAAATAAATAAGGCATTGCCTAGTACCTATACCACTGCTATCATGTTCTTTCTATTGTAATTCTGTGCAATTCTGTGCTGTGGAACCCATGCCTGAAGTTAGCCTTGTGGAAAGAGGATTTTGACTTTAAAACAAATTTAAGTATGCTAATCTATTGCTGCCTACAGGAAGGATGAACTTCAGTATTTCCGTTGGAGAGGTAGTGGGGAGAGTCTACCAAGGGCTGCTCTAAACCAATTTGCAGGTTGATGTAGGGCTGCTTCCAATGTGACAGGGAGACAAGAAGTCTCAAATCTGTTTTCCATCTAACAACCCTGACTTTCCATCCTGATGAAATACTATTCAGTGCTACTGTTCCCTAGTGCCAGGGCTTGTGCTGTAAATACGACTGCGCTGAGGGAGCGATTGTTCGATTCTTTGGTTCTTGTCGCTCCTAAGCGGACCAAGATTACAACCGTCCAAGTGAAGAGTAATTTGGGGGCCTGTGGCCGAATGAAGTACCTTGCTCTAAGAGCACCAAGCGAGTCTTAGAAAGCTGAACCTCCACGTGCTTAGGGCAATGGCTGTAGTGGGTACGGGGTGAGCGACGCTCAGCCGGACGGGGCCGTCCGCAGGCTCTTTCCAGCACCCCACC